TATAGGAATAGTAAAGGAAGACATGCCGACAATTATTAGCTATAGTTCACTTACTGGAACCCATATAGGAATAGTAAAGGAAGACATGCCGACAATTATTAGCTATAGTTCACTTACTGGAACCCATATAGGAACAGTAAAGGAAGACATGCTAACAATTATTAGCTATAGTTCACTCTTCGCTGGCATTAAGGAATACCATAATAATGCAAAATATTGTGTTTAGCATACAAAAATGTCCAAACAAAACAATACCTCATTGTTGTCTTAGTACATTATTCCTATGACAAGATTAGCTTATGTCTCATTAATGTTTGTTTGTTCTTAAGCACGAAGCAACGCAATGGGCTATCTGTCATTTGCTCACTATTTAGTGTGAAAAGGCCCACAGACTTATAGACCTTCCGCTGAAGACACCGGGGGCAACTCATTAATGACTAAATCCTTTTATTGCTTTTGCATTCCACAAGAAACAAAACATATAAATAAATAAGTCGGTTACTTCACGTTTGGAGGCCTGGCATAGCCTGGTGGTTAGGGTGCTTGACTGTGCAATCTGTGTGTTGCGGGTTCAAATCCCCGTGACCGAATATGCTTGCCCTTTCAGCCGTGATGGCGTTATAATGCGATGATTAATTCCACTATTCATTGGTAAAAGAGCAGCCCACGTTTTGGCGTTGAATGGTGTTGACTAGCTGCCTTTCCTCTAATCTATCACTGTTAAATTAGGGACGGCTAGCGCAGATAGCCCTCGTGTAGCTTTGCATAAAATTAAAAACAAACCAAATCACGTTTGAGTTTTGTGGAAGATCTTAAAAGTTTATCTTAGACATATCATATTTCCATTGAATTTAAATAGCAGCACGAGACCTCACGGACCGTTAATCTTCAGCTGTATTCAGATGCAAACAATGTTTGTCATCTGCCGGGATTTAACTCTCAGAAATATGCGATAATCCTGACTTATTACCCACCACTTTCACTTCCCGTGACTCAGTGGTAAGAAAGACTTGGGGCTTATAATGCTAAAAATCTTGTGTCAATACATGTGATGGGCAGAACGTGTAGCATTGTTTTATTGCTTCAGAATTTCACGCAAAGATACGCAAATTGCTACGTAAGAGCAGCTCTCACTAACTTTTAACTGACAGATTTAGGACGATTATGTTTGTTTGTTATTAAACACAAAATTACACAATGGGCTATCTGTGCTATGCCCAGTGCGGGTATCGAAGCCGCTTTACAAGCTCTCAGACTTACCGCTACTTTCATCTTATGGAAGCCACCTAGTGGCAGATCCCACATACTTCTTTGCACAGTAAGACTAGTAAAACATAAATATCAATTGAACTGTTATCCATTGGTAGTGGACCGAGCGAAGTGCATCTAGTTTAAAGTTCTAGATGTACTCTGTTTCAAATGAGTTAACTCTATCTTTACACAATAAAATATTGTTCTATGTATATCAAAGCTATTACAAAAAATATCAAAACAATGAGCTGTAATATCTTAGACACATACACACAAATCAAAAAGACTTATTCTCTGGTCTGGTGTTTCAAATAACTTCCTCATTCAACAACTTGTAATTACCCACAGCCTTACGGCCTGAAATTAATTACCAAACGTTCGCTAAGTTAGAAACTGAACGGGAACAAAACCATTAACATCACCACGTATTTGATAAAGGATTTGCTATCGATAAATATTTATGCTTTCCTGTGAATTTTACTCTTTATTACTGAAGTATTTTAAAACTTTTCTAACAAACATGTTCCGGTAAATTAAAAGTAATAAACGTGTTTTCTCCGTATTTTAATATCGAACTTCCATTTAGATATTTTGCCTGATGTACATCTTCTATAGCAGTCGGGTTATTTCAAGAGTGATATTGTAATTAAAATCCGCTACAGGTATGTGGATAAGAAAAACAGGCAATTTCCTTCAAAGTCGTAAACTAATAAAGTTCATGATATTTAACATGATTCTTCAGGCATGTGAGGATGTCCATATCGATAGTCACACATTTTTAGTCGCTTTTGCTGCTTCATTTAGAAAATGTTTATTCAACAGAATACGTTTTAGAACAGATTGAGTTCCCAGGAAAACAAAAATCAAACGAAAAAAACAAATATCACGTATGTTACACATTCTTGAATGTCTAGACAATAAGATGCACAAGAATATTGTTTTTAGTTCGTGTAATGTATTGACAAGTGAAGATATTGTTTGAAGAGCAGGTTGCAGGAGGGACCATGCTGATTAACATCAGAAAAAGACAGTTGGAGTTTTTTTCGGACACGTTATGAGGAAAGAAGAAATCTGGTCGTAACTGGAAAGATTTGAGGAAGGAGAGACCGTCGAAGAAATAGGTTGAGTTATGTCAAGAGTCTATATAAGTGGATGAATGTATGAACATTGGGAATTCTTTGTGCCTCAGGGAGAAGCGATTTGTGGGAGACCATGGTCACCAACATCCTGTTTGTATATGGTACAGATATATATATATATATTGAAATCCATTTCTTTAGCAGATCTATATAAACGTGTAGATCAGTTGGTTGGCTTTCACTGTAACCTATGAAAAGATTTGTTTATACAGCGTGCATGAGTAATAGGAACATCAGTTATTGTTTTTATATTTTGTTATTAAATAAGTTTAGCATCCAGATTACGTACATGAAACCTACCCCGTGAGCATAATGCCTTAAAATATTATTCAAATCTAAAGTCAGATTTCTATTTCCAACAGAAACTTTACGAAATTATGAAAATGATGTAAAATTTCAAATATCGTTCCTTGGAAAATTTTCGTTTAAGTTCAAACGAATGGATCGATATAATATCCAGTTATATTCTTGTTATCTGGCTTTCTCTTAAAGTGCCCTCTATATTTTTACAGAAAATATCCATTTAAATTACTTAACAATGAGTAAATAATATACTAAAGTTTTCTGTAACATCTTGAAACTTAATCTGTGTTTAATATCTAATACAAAAAACAACAACATAAAACAATAAGAAAACGTTTAACAGAAAGAAGTTAATTTGCTGTTATCATTAGTTCGTCTGTAAAATTAAGGTTAATACATCCTTGGGATATTTTTAATTTATGTAGTTTTAAAATTACTATGTTTCTAATGTTATCAGTCTTTCAGAAGTTATATATTGTAATTGTGGCGTTTCGTATAAATATGATACAACATGTATATATATATACAAACACACTCACTTCATTGCCTAAGCCTTGAAACATTTGAAAATTATTTTATGCTTTCTAAAATATATTTTCTAGAAGTTTCTATAACGGACAACTTCAATGCCTGATATATATGCAAACTAACCATTCAAAAGACAGTGACAACGTGACCTAATGGTTAGTATCTTGGATTTGTAATCGAAAGGTTGCAGGTTCGACGCTCACCGTGAGTCGTATTTGTATTATTAAACACTTTACTCAAATATGCATCAATCTGCCCATCTATAGAAGTGAATATTAGCTGAAAGCTAGTGCTATCCAGAGGATAAGTGTAATTATTTTCCTGACAACTGAGCTAAGCAACAGCTCTATATACCTTTCGAGACACGAAATGGAATTAACTAAGGCAACGTCGAATAACCTAGCCTAATAGATAAAAAAAACTAAACACTACAAAATAGAAAATTCTCTATCTTTTCATGTGTAGTATTACAATATCTTTATTTTCTTGAAAACTCTAATTAGAAAAGTCAAACAATGTTTTACATTAGCAAAAACATGAAACCTTAAGGCTATAATAATAATTAACAATACTTCATTTTTACACGAACTTTTCCTTCACCCCCTTCTTTAACAAATACTAATTTCTGTAAAATATCAAGATAAAATGTTTTCTTTGTGTACACGTCCTAACTTTTGATTGTATTTCCATATCTTCATTTGTTCCAAATTGCTACGTTTTTACAAAGACACACATCAAACGCGCCGAAGAAGACGCTTTTAAGTTGGATTTCAAAAGATCGCCTTTTCTAAAGTAGTGTGTTGACAAACGATTACTCCAGAAACATTCAAGTTTCCATCATTTCCCCAAAAAGGAAACGAAGGCCGCCTGGAGACGGTTATCTATTTTAACCATTCACACCACTATACAGTAATGCGTTGTCTGTCAGTTAGTCAGTAGCCACTAAAATGACGTCACATAAGGGACGCTTAGTGTTGCAATTTGTCAGTAAAACATGCATATGCCATGAATCACGAGAATAATT